ATCGGTAGGAGAGTTAGAAGCATTCCTTTGAAAACTTTTTAGTGACTAGAAAATGAATAGTTCCAGCTTTAAAGAATTGCATATCAAAGAATTTTCCAAATAAATATAACTCCATTTCTAGATAGGAAAAAAAAGAAGCCTTTACTGTCAGAAGATCAATTGCAATAAGAGAGTCAATCAATCTAGAATTGTTCAAATTTTTCTGAATAATGGTTTTGGAGTAAAAGGGTATTAACTAGGAGTTAAAAGACATGGTTCTGTGAGTACTCATATTTAAGAGAGAGACAGAATATGCCTCCAAAGAAATTAAGTCCTATGTTTTTCAATTAGGTTAACATGACCATCTTGATGCAAAGTAAAAAGAAAAGGTTCCTATTAAAAGTGTTATGAGGATCAAAAATACGAGCGCTGTTGTTTAATGAACTTGGGTTCAAATTCCATTCCACCATATTTCTGCCTCAATGCATTTTTTTTATTTTTGCAATTTAGAAAAAGTACTGTAAAAGTACTGTATACCAAATACACTTATTTACAAGTTATTGTGAATAGTAAATATAATAAAATTCATTAAACCCAGGAAACCCTTAAAAATATGCTTGCTAATAAAAAAAATTGTTATGTAAGATGAACCATGGGCACCTAAAAACTTATCTTCCCAGTATAATACCTAAGAGCCTGAATATGGAACTAAAACACAAGTGCTTTCAGCGCAGTTCTGCAGAGATAAGAATAAACTTCTCAGGTTGTCTTACAAATACACAGATGTGCTAAGAAACTCTGATTCAGTTTCACTTATTGTATGTAGAAAGGTAGCTAAAATGCCTTTTTCAAATTTTAATAGCAATATATGAAAAACATAGAACCCTTGAACAGTTGCCCTCATCACATAGATTGCATTGTACGCTTAACCAGTACATAACGTCATTTAGCACATAATTCGCTTTGCTTATCCTATTTCCCTGTACATCCATACTACATAAGGTTCCATATCATGTGGCATTCTTTTAGGAAAGACACAACTCAATACCAACCACTGCTCAAAAAAAATACAAAGCAGGAATCACCAAATCAGGTCCCTTAAATAAATATTTTTAAATAAAAATATTTGAATTGAACCATAGAGCCAGAAACTGCTGGTAACTTGCTTGAGGTCCCTGCAGAATTATTTCATTGCCTTCTGTGATATTAGGATCCCTGGGGAGGTAGTAATATTTCTCATCTATGACAAGAATTTCCAATAGGCATCAAATTAATGGAGCCTATATCCTGTTCCATCAACATGAGGACACAAAACCAGACGAGGAGCCATGCTGATGAATACTTGTTTACTCCGGTTTTGCACAAACTAGAGAAGTAGCTTTGAAAAGTTGTCATGGCCATGCTTTTCCTGAGCAGCAGACACAAACACTTCACTGAATATAGAAATATATACACACACAAATGTAAATGTAGGTTCTCTCCCTTTCTAGAACAGTGTGCATGTGTGTCTAACTGTGTGTGTGGTGTGCATGATACATGTTCTAGCTGAGAAGAGACATCATTTTAACTGTCTAGATGTTTGGTGACACATTCTCAGAGCCCATCAGGGATGAGGTAAATGGAAATAATAACTGCTATACTACGCTGTTAGAGTAAGAGCAATTCAGAAGTGAAATTCTGGGATACAATATCAGAAACATGTATGCATATATTTTCCAAAAGACTGGCAACTAAGTTGCAAGGCCATTGATAAGCAAATTGATTTCTAGCTAAGATTCCCTCCTGCCTTTCTAAGGTCACTGAGCTATTCCGATAACAAGCCGTGAAAAGCACTTAATAGGACCTATGGGTAGATAAATTATTAGGTTCATTAAAAATTTTAAGCCAATGGTAACACCTGTCCAATTTCTTTTGCAAGGATCTGATGGACAATACCTGCATCTATGGTGTCACTTCTAATTCATAACAGTGCTAAGACAACATCCTTCATTAGATAGATTTGGCAAATCCAGAGCAATGGTGCTAATCCAACTCCAACATAAGTCTTTGTTACAGTTCTCATTTTAGTTTAGGCAGCTCAAATAAGCTTATCACAGGGCTTTGAACTGACATTCTGGGATGGCACAATGGACAATATTACCAGGAGAATCGTTAATGAGCATCAGTAAATGTTACGTCCTTCAAAGAAGGCACTTCAACTCCAGTTTGCAAGGCATGAAGTAAAATGAAAGATGTTCCACTTCCCTGTGTAAGATTAAAATTTAATCAGAATGTGCGCTGATTTATTTTTAAGAAACGCTATATAAGAGCTAGCTGGAGAACTACAGTACCCCTTATAGTCAAGATTTCTTTTTTTCTGAAAAAGGTAACCCACATGAGCTTTTAATTGAAAAGTACATCAATAATACTCTGTTTGTCTTACCTGGTTATCCAAAGATTAAATCCATTTTTAATTAATGAAAATGATTTAATCTTAGAGCATTCGTAATCTCAGCTTATTTAGGCCTGTATGTAAAGAACTGCTTGAGACCCTTTTGCAAACAAGACCAGGCTCCATCACAAAATGATGCCCAATCTCTCTTTTAAGGATATTTTCTAAAAATATGTGGTCCATGACTATAGAATTCTTCATCCCCCCAAATCACATTAACACTGTTTGACATGATGGCAGAGAGAGCAAAAATAATTCATTTCTGACAAGTAAGTACAGGCTACACTGCTGGGGTTTTTTTGGAAACCATCCTCCTCTTATTCCATTTTGGTAAATTTCTAAGGAATGTTTAAAATTTGTAGGACAGGCCTTGGTTTAAGAGGTGGCCTCTCTGCCATTTTTATGGCTGATTTAAGACCCATTATGTACCCGATTCTGCATTGTGAAATCCAGGCTGGGGACAAATTTCTGCCTGTCATCTTAGGAAAGGCCAGGAGTTTTGCACCATCCTGTAGTGTGAAAACAGAAAACCAAAGCCAGGGTTGGACTGCCTGTTTCTTTCTTAATCAGCTTGCTGCTTTTTTTTTTTTTAAGTAATCTCGGCTGTCCCTATCTCAGAATTGAGAAGGTAATTTGGTAGACTAAAATATAGTTTAAACAATATCTCCCCAGGAAAAGTTCCTCTTTACACTTAATATTGAATGAAAAAGGTAATCAGTAAGGAATCATTTGATGCTTGGCTAAGAACCATTGCACAGGGAATGCATTTAGGAAGCACAAAATCCTTTTCTTTTTTTTTTAAATCTGATAAGATCCTGAATCAGGAGCCAAGAGGCCTAGATATTTTCCTTATATTGCTCATTCTGTTTCAATGACATGCCCATAAAACTATAGTTTATGGACCAAATTTGCTGCACCTCTCACCCCAACAATAATGTAAATTGCAGAGATATAAATATCTTACAATAATTAAAAAAAATTTAAACAGTTCGCTGAAAATGACAGCATGGATAACTCTGTCAATGACCTCTTCTGTCTAATGTCAATTTCAGAAAACAAGTTTCCATTGTAAATGTTTAATCAGTGTAGTCCCAGGAACCCAGAGCAGACAACCTTATCTTCTCTCCCAACTTATTGCAAGCTCGTTAGTAGCTCTGTCTCAGCTCCCAGCAAGCACTTTAGGTTTTCCTCTCTCAAAAGAGCTGGGAGCTCTGTAGGTTCCGAGCTAAACAGAAGCCCTGTGGTTTGACTCCATGAGTCTGAGCCCTGGTCCACTGCAAGGAAACTGCAGCATTTCTGCTTGCAAACCCTGGCAACCCGGTTCTAGACCAGCCACAAACAGGCTGTACACATTCTTCAACGCTGTTTTGCCCAAACCTTGCCTGAAACCAGTCAACCACAGCAGAAAGCATCCTACCTTCCATCATGGTGGCAGAATTGCATTCCTCAATTCCAAGGAGTCTGAAAAAAAATACAGGAGGATACGATTCCAGGTCCCAGCTAAGCCCTCATAACACGGCTGCCGCTGCCGAGAAATCTGCTCTGTCCGCTGTTGCTGAAGCCAAAGGAAGGAGACAAGTGTTAACCCCAAAGATAGGCCATGGATGCTGCTGGTGCTGCTTCACCTACAGGCTCCCAGGAAGATGCTGCGAGAGAAAGGGAGAGGAACGGCAAGCCGGCGAGCTGCACCGCCTGCGCTGCCTCCGCCAATCCCTTCAGCTCTGGACCGCGTCACATGGTAGCCAGCCCGCATCTCCTGACACAATACCCCCGGAGAGCTCACAGAACCTATTTCCCGTCCCCATTCCCCTCCACCCCCACCCCCTGCCGCCTGTCGACAAATGCACAGCCCCTTCCCCACCTGGTGACGCACTTCCCCCGCCCCTCCTCTTCGTCTTCTTAAACCTATTGCAGAGGCTGGGTACCCAAGATTAATTATCAGACGCCGCCACCCTAACAGGGGACTCTGGCATGAAAGGATCACCTAAGTGGCTGGCTGCGAAGGGGATTTTTTTTTTTTAACTTCTTAATTCCATGCAGCCTGAAGTCTTAGCTGCATACATTTAAGCTCCCATCTCCTTTTGCCCTGAAGGAATTCCAAATGTCAGTCTCTGTCCCCAGGTCCCCTGCACACATCTGTGACTCTCTCTCTCTCTCTCTCAAAATCAATCCGGCTGACGTCACATCATAAACAATTATCCCCAAAAGGATGATGCAGAAGAAATTTCACCCCAGCTTCCTTCAAGAGAGCCAGGGAATTAATCGCGCATGACATGCCAACGGCTAGGAACTGTCATTAAAACAAAGAAACAAAAGAACCCACCGAGTGGGGCTCTGGAATCAAACTGGAAACGCTTGAGATAGTTTCTGGGGCGGGAGGCGGGAGAGAGGGGAGTAGGCAGGCAGGGGAGGCCATAGCCCAACGGAAGACAGCTGTGCACGCCCTTCCTCCCACTGCAACCTGGGCAGCCGGCCGGCCTCTGACCGGACCCCGCGGAGCGCCGCTCGGCTCAGAGTTCGAGTCCCTCCGCCAGCGCGTCCCACCCGCCTCCCCTCCCCGCCTCGCCCCGCCCTCGAGAGGCCTGGCTGCCCCAGGTGGAGTGTGGCTGCTGCTGCCAAGTGCAGTTCCTGTAGGAAAGCAACTTTCTTCTAAATGACACGTTTTTCACGACACGCCACTGGCGCCTGTAAGCGCCTTCAAGCCCATTCGTTCACCCCACTGGAAATCCGGAGAGAGGTAATTGTGCCCGGTTCTGGCCGGAGGATGGGTGGAGCCCAGGGTTTCTCTGCTTCCAGGGATATGATCTGGATGCCGTGCTCCTGTCTAAGTGGGAAGGGCTATGGCACCCGGGTTGCTTGGCTCGAAAATCTGTCACCTGACTGGTCCCCAGTGACCCCGGGAGCCTTTCGGAGGGGCCCAGGCCCCAGGGTCCTGCTATCCTCCGTTCCTTTCAAGCTCTGGAGGCTAAGAAGGCAGGTGGCATATTTGAGGGAAAGGAGAAGGAAGGGAGATGGGAAGGAAGGAAAGGGCCTCTTTAGAGCCCTAACGGGACAACAACGTCAGGGGACGTTTCTCCTTTTACAGTCCAGCAACATGACTAGGAGAAAAGTCATTATATCCCAGAGCCATTGTGAGCATCAAGTGAAATAACTTTAAGAAGTAAGATGCATTACATGATCAGAATTCAGCTTCTAATACCATTATTAATCAATTATGCTATAAATATACCCATGAACTTTCAATATTGCTCAGCCCTTTACATACAGCGTAGTTCTTTCCACCAGAGCAAATGTGAGGTATTTGTGGCCAGCACTACTAAAGAAAATATAACTGAATAAGCTGACTGAAGTAGCACATTAACAGTTAAAAAACAAAAACTCAATTCCTTACCAACTTAGAAGTTCTAAAAACATTTATTGTTCTCCCTAAAGACATATATATTAATGACCTCTAAATTTCAAAAATGAAATTCTCCAGGGAGATACAAATACGTATGTCTTTTTCCTCATATTTTTGAAGCAGTTGAATTTTAAAAGAGGAAAGAATTTCAAAGTAAAACCTGTGCTGAGTACAACTTACATTGCTCTGAAAACAGCAAGGGTATTATTGCAAAAAAAGAATTAAAAAAAAAAAAGATTGATGTGTATGTGTGCATGTGTGTGTGTGTACTTAGCCAAAATTTTTGTAATGGTTAAGAACATGGATAGCTAAAGGTACCAAACAGACTGATATCAAGTTCTGTCTCTGCCACTTAGTGAGCTATGTGACCCTGTACAAGTTATGTACCTCTCTGTGTCTCACAATTTCCTTATATGTGAAATGAAGATAATACCAACTTCATAGGGCTATAACCAGTATTAATAACACACTTTTATTAATGTCTTACTATGTGCTAAACAGTCCTAAATACCTTGCCGGTAAATTAGTTCACATTGTATCTGGGGCATAACGAACCTTCTGTGTTTGCTTTTTAATATTAGTATTATTACCACCACAGGGCTGCCAGAGTCATCAAAGAAGGTGGCAGCCAAGTGAGAGTTGTATGACATGCAAAGAGAATAACTTGGTGAAAGACTAGGTGATGCATCCGGAGATACAATGCGTTGGAGAGATTCTGAGACGCTGCTAGATAATGATTAGAACCAAATGAGGTTAGGGAAGGTTCTCTTAAGAGGTGAAATTTTAGAGTTCAGAGAAAATTGGAATGGGCTTGGAGTGGCAGTTATAAATAAGATAGAGAGTTCTATAATAAATAAAAAAATGGTTTATATAAAGTCTGGAGGTAAGAGCAAGCACTGAGATGCTGGGATAGGAGGCATTGTCAGAGAGCCAGCGAAACCCTGGCTGCGTGCCTTGCCTCACCCCATGAAGTTTTACAGTGTGTTAGAGCAAACCTTTCAGATCGATTTGATACAGCACACATAAGTTTTGTTTTAGAATTGCAGCAAGGCAACTAGCTAGAGACAGAAATACAGCTCAAAGATTCTTTTGATCCATGAGTGTTTGTAAGAAAAACAAGTGTCTAGATATGATTGTCAGAGAAGGACCAAGAAAGGGATGTGTCATTAAAGGTGGCGAGGTTAGTCCCAAGATTGGTTAAACTTTGTGTAACTTGATTGAGAAGATGCTATTACCAATGTTAAGAACATCTGATGAACAAAGTTCTGCTTGAAATACAAAATTGCTTTCAGTATGTTATCAGAAAAGATTAAACATCCTAAATTTGTCTTTTCATAGGTTTTTTAAAAAAAATGGTTTCTCAGGAACAAAGACAGTACTTTAGATTGTGGCCCAAATTTCATCACCACCCAGTACAGATGTTGCTTACGAACAAGTGCAAAGGATAATTTCTAGCAGCTAAAATAATGGAATATTTTTTGCAAGCCTTAAGTGGAAGTCAAATCTGTGGAAAAGACTGAGTAAATTATTAACTTGTACCAAAGTATCCAAACTGTCTAGAAATTTAGTTCAGGATCATGAGTGTGTGCCCAGATCGGTGCTCAAATAGGTGCCCAAGGTGCTCAGATAGTGCCTGCAACTAGTCCAAGACCAAAAACTTAATTACTAAAGTCACTAGACACTTAAAGTTTGTTTCTAAAATAATATTTTTACAGTGGGGATGCCCTTTACACATGGTTTTTGTGTGTGTGAGTGTTTTTTTAATTAGATTCTTACTATAATAGTTGAATTTCTTCACTATTCCTCAATTTTAGTGTTTTTGGGGGAATTCAGTTCATATTTGAGAAAGAGAAAGAAAATAATGAGAACTGAGTCACAAAGGAAGGAGTAAAGAAAATTAACATAGAGGGGAAGTTTAAATAATGTATTCAATAACCCTCTTGCTAGTCCCACTGAGGCAATTCAGATGAATATAGAAAGAAAAATATTGTCCAATCCCCATGAAAATTAAAAGGATCAAATTGAAAAGTTAGATTTCTACGGGATGAAATAGGTAAAAGAGAAATATACATATATGCCCACACTCACTATACTCTTGGTTAAAATTAAGAACTCCAAATGGATCCAACATGGGCAAAAAAGAGATTTATTTGGGTAACTTGCAGAATTAATTGAACAGCACAGCTGAGGAAAAACAAAAACTAGAATGTCCCAGGAAACTTTGATAACACAACCAAATATTCAGAACTCTGTTTCCTCTAGCACGTCAGCTTCTTTCCTCTTACTGGTTTTTTTCCACGTGATCAGGGAGCTGGTCATTTGCACGCTTTAAGCTTACATCTCCACAGCTGGGCTATACAAGATCTACTTCAAAAAAACTTCCCAGGAAGGACTCTGATTGACCTGGCTTGGATCACTATTCCCCTTTTGAACCAATCAATGGGTCCTAGTTGATGAGGTCTCATGACGGCCTTATTTATTAAAAAAAAAATTTTATTTTTTTTTTTTTAGCTGAGCCATCCTGCCACCTGTTGGCAGCTCAGCGGCAGCTCAGCTCGGGCCGGGAATCAAACTAGCGACCCTGTTGCTCAAAGCTCACACTCTTGAGCAAGCTCTTAACCAACTGAGCCACTTGGCCGGCCCATGGCCTTATTTAAACTAAAATTTACATTGGACTTAGTCACGTGCCCACTATTATGACTAAACATAGGGAGGGAGATAGGCAAGTTTCTATGACAAACAACCCTTACTAGTATGAACACCCTAATATAATTGGAGGGGTAGAAAAGACATTGTCAAAGGAAGAAAAGGAGCTATTGCCAGAATAAATGGAGAGAGAAACCATGAAACAAAAGTTATCCACCACATAGACTCACTCAGTGAGCCTAAGGTAAAACTTACAAAAGGATTCATGATTGCAGAGGGACTCCGAATGCCACAATAATCACATTCAGCATACTTGAGAAGTTACTTATATATTCTCACTCATTAACATCTAGAGAGAAACTTGCAGAGCCTGTAGCCATCCTCCTCCTCACTGTGAGAAGCGCAGAGGAAAAAGGGGAAGCAGACCATACTTATTACCCTATTTACACCAAAGACAAGACATGCCCTGGTATGCTCCCCACCCGTTGGTCCATCCCTGTCCAGAGAGCCATGTACCCAGACCTACACAAGTGTAGAAATTTCAAAAGAGACAGTAAAAAATTACAACTCACTGAAATAGAGGAAACATCCTCACTGAAAGTAGAGAAAATGTAGAAAACTGGAGAGGCATTAAAAAAATCTATTTTTTAATGTTTGATATCCCATATTTCCCCATGTATAATATACTCCCATGTATAATACGCACCCACTTTTTTGGCCCAAACTTTCAGGGAAAAAAATCTTTCATTTTAATTTTTTAATTCAAATTTTTATTTGTTTACATTTAGGTACTTATTTTTTGTATTATAAAGGAATTTTAGCATTTATTTTTTAACATATTACGGTACAAGTAATTTTATGTACCGGTAACAAATTTACGATATTTACTCATCATAGAAGGCCAAGAGCTCTTCATTGTTGCAATTTCATTGTAAGTTCAACAAAACCAATTATCATCTTCCGTATTATTTTGCATATAGATATTGTTATTGATTTCTAGAGTTACACTTTTAACTCATAAGCATAAATAAAATAATTAAAAACATTTATATAAATATGGAATTAGTACTACCCATGTATAATGCGCATCTATTTTTTCCCTCACAAATTTGGGCAAAAAAGTGCACATTTATACATGGCAAAATACAGTAATTTCAGGGCTACAACAGCAATAAATAAAAGCAGACTGCTATGATAAAAGAGCACACTGAGAGCCAGAAAGTGCATGGAAGTATTGAAAACATTTTTGTTAATATTTTTTAAATGGTATAGCTGTAATAAAAAATATAATGGATACTACCAAGAGGGACCATTGATAGGCCCAGTGGCAATGTGTTTAAAGCATAGACCCACAACAACAATAACTGGCCCAAACACTGTGGAATTCTTTTTCTCTTTGATGAATCAGTCAACTCAGATGCAACTTCAACAGTTCACAAAACTAGAAAAAGAGATAAAGCTCTAAAATTCACTTTATAAATTATAAAACGTGTCAAAAATAATAAAAACAAAAAAGAGACTATAGCTCAGTCTCATTTATGAATATTGATGCAAAATTTTAAATAAAATAACTGTAAACAGAATCCAGCTTTTCAAAAACATTGTATATCATAATAAATTAGACTTTGTTTTAGGAGTAAAAAAAATTAGTTCAACATTAAGAAATCTATAAATATAATTCACAATATTAA